GGATGATCGATAAATATCAAATAATTGTTTTTAGGCAGAAGATATTATAGTTACTTATAGAAGAATTGTTATTGACCTGGTGAAGATTTCAAGGAAAGGTTTGATAAAATCATATGGTTGGATAAAGGAAAAAAAATTATTAATTGATAAAAGAGTTAGATTTGAACTATATATATGTACTGGTTAGTAGGTTCATACATTGATGGTTTGTTGTTGCTCCCAAATTGGACACGGTTAATGTTTAGATTATCCCAGGATGAAGGTTTAATGACCCGTGAGAGTTCTTAAGAATTGAAGAGAATCTTTGTTAGGAATTTTCAAGCGAAGTATGTTAAGAATTAAAGCGAAGCGAATGTAAAGAAAGAATAAGAAATTCTCTCAAGATTTAAATATTCCTCAATTTCTGAGTTAGAATTTATCTTTGTGGATACTTTTTAAGATTGGAAAACTGTTCTGGTATTTGGATGCACTTGCTTTAGGGAAAAAATATCAGATGAAGAGAAACAAAAAATAAAGTCAAAATTTATATGAGAAAGTATTTAAGATTTGATTTTTTTTTAATTTTAGTTTTTCAAAAAGAAAGAATAGGAGTGTGAAATTGTTGAGATGATTTAGAAGAAGGAATAGAGTAAAAATTGGAACGGTGTGATTTAAAGAAAACAGAATTCATCCATTGAATTTCGTTCGAAAAGCCATATAGACTGATAAACTCTTGGGTAAAGATACTGAAATAAAGAAAGAAATGATTCTCAGAATCCTTATATATGTAAAAATAAAAATTAATAACCGAGAGAATAAAAAATATAACGGAAAATTTTGATTTTTTTTTTCATTTTCACGTATTCTTCTTAAAAACATAACTATTGAATTGCAAATTTTTCTCCAAAAAGAATCAAAATTTCGTGGTTTTTCTACTTTCAAAATAAGATTACAGTTTTTAACTAATTCGGACAATAATTTAAAACTCAAAATTTATAAAATTATATATCTAGTTAAATTTGAATCATAAAAACATATTAAAATATAAATCAAGGAATAGTTGATTTTTATTTCGCTAGATGGCGCTTTGCCATCTAAAAATGCTCATTTGAGCGATCAGGGTAGACATTTTTTGTTTTTAATATGCAAATATATATTGAGAAAATATTTAAAAATTCTATCTTGTAGAACTCTTTATGGAAAATTAAAAAGTTTATTATTACTCTATCAACATATCGGATTTAAAAAAAAAAATCACATATTTGAATTTTCCCATCACTAAAGCCAAGGATTTGTAAAATTTACTAAATTAAAATTGGAACAATTAAAAATATTTTACTTATAATGATAAAGCATCATAAACTATTTCCTACTGGCATTTTATAAATTGACGTCCAAAAAAAATGTATTAATGAATCATTCAAAATTTTCCAGAGGAATTTGGTCAAAAATTAATATATTAAATATATTATTTTTATTCGTGTTCTCAGAATTTTCATTAATAATTTATTAATATATTTTTATTAATATTATTTATAATCTCTATTATAAAAGGAAAAAAACTGGTTATTTGTCCATTTATCACTACATTATCTGCCAAAATACTTCCATCCTATTTGCCAAATAATCAAAATTAATAATTGAAATAATAACGCCAAATATATCAATACTCTCAAAATATCCAATTTTACAAAATATTTTAAATTTAATTTACAAATAATCAAATAATTTAGAATTATTTTTTAAAAATCATTAATATGTATTATATATTCATTATTTAGCGTTAGAAATTTTTAATTATCTATGAATATTATTTATTAATTTTTGACCAAAATTTCGTTTATATAAATAGTGCGCCTAAATACAGTTCATAAATTGCTCAGCACTGGTGTAATACATTTTATCTACTCCCCCTTTTATCTTTTAAAATCTACTTCTATACACTACTAATATTTTTTTGCATCTATTTTTTGAGCCAACAATTTACATGTGTGTGCACACCCCATTGGTTGTAAATGCCATTAAAAAAAAAACAATTTTATTTGGTTTCTCTTTGCATGTTGGTGTTAGGTGTAGACCCTTAATTTGAAACCAGTTGTCCTACAGTGTGTAGACTTGATTCTTCTCTCTCTCAGGTAGATTTGTAGATGCACCTATGTAGCCAGATGTCCCCTGCCACTGCTTTGTAAAAGTCTACGACCGTTATCCCTACCCCCCGATGTAAAAATAAAAAGACATTTTTACCTCGAACATTTTTGTACTTATATTTACATATATATTTACATTCTCACAAGGACAAAACCACACAGTAAAGTTTGGTATTGGAAACGGAAAAGAAGGAAGAAAAAATGCTGAAACTTTTCTTAAGACGAAAATCCTTTATTCTTTAAAAGGAATTAACTAATGGAAGGAAGGAAAATCTATAAACAGCTAAATACAGGGAAAAAAGAATAAAAATACACTCACAGACAAAACTCAAGAAAGTTGAATCTTTTAGCATGTATATCGGGATTCAAACAATAACTCTGAAAGATATTACAGTGACCTTTATTGAAGGTACACGAGATAACCAAGTGTGAACAAAATTGTCTCTGTCTTTTTCTTCTTTAAAAAAAAAAATAGATGACTGTCGACAATAAAGACTTAACACCTCCTTATGTTTTGTCTATGAGTGATTTCAAATATCAGTAATTGAGTTGGGAGAAGAGAGTAATATTAACCTCAGTGTGTATCAAGATCCCAATAATTCTCTTTATAAAAACGTTGGCAAGTTTTCAGAACAAACCCCCTTTCCTTTAAATACGTATTATAAGATCAAGATAAAACACAATTAATAAAATACAAATAAAGGTATAACTTAATTCTAAATTTTATGAAAACGAAAAAAAAAAAACATATATAAATTATATAGATATATATTAAAAATAAAGAAGGCATCTCCTGACCACGAGCACATGTGCTTTTTAGATGGCAGAGCGCCATCTAGTGATAGATATATATTGGACTATTCATTTTTGTGTTTTAGCGCCTATAGTTTTGGTTTCGTAATTTATTTTGTTTTTATTTTATATCTTTGGCTGTATCTGTGGTTTTATATCGTTTTGTCTTAATATTTTTCCAGAGAAATAGAGCTATCTGAAAGCTTGCCAAGAGTGTAATAAAGACCTTTATTGGGGGATAGAAACATCTGTTGATTCTCGCTGTCTAACATATTTGCATATTGATACATCGTGTTTGATTTGCATATCTTTGTTCACTGAAATTTTTAATTTTTCAGCTATTTTTTTTTAATATAATATTTTCGAGATTTTTTTATTTTAATATACACTGCGTGACATTGAAAATGGAACACCAAGAAATAGTGGCCAGAAAATTATGCAAATTTCAGGGTAGACGCGCCTAACCGAGTTATGCAAATGATGTAAAATGCGCAGCTCTCGTGCGCACATGGAGTAAGATATAAGGGAAGGAACTTGCAGAAAGGACAGTATTCGTGTCGTTATTTCTTCAAGGAAAATCATTGTAGAAATTTTGTTCTTGTGTCAAAAGACACGTGTAATAACAGAGAATGACAGGTCATCGTAAACGGAGGCAGTTCAAGCAGACAGACGCTTTTACGAGGGGCATGGTGATCGGACTGAAAAGGGCAGGTTGGTCCATACGTCAAATCGCAGCTGATGCACACCTTGGTGCGTCCACGGTGCACCGACTGTGGAGAAGATGGTTGGAACAAGGAAATGTGGCAATTTATAGGAATGTTGGTGCAACCAGAGTGACGTCAGCACGTGTGGATCGGCGTATCCTTCGACAAGCAGTGGCGGCCCCACAAGCCACTTGTACCGCCATCCTGCAACAGGTGCAAGACACCCTAGATCATTCTATCTCGACCAGAACCATTTCCCGTCGATTGGTTGCTAATGGCTTGCACTCATGCCGTCCGCTAAGAAGATTGCCATTGACCCCACCGAATAGGCGCCAACGTTTGGAATGGTGCCGGGCTAGATCGACGTGGATGACGGAATGGCACAGGGTCGTGTTCTCAGATGAGTCGCGTTTCTGCTTGTCCAGTGATAGTCGCCGTGTACGCGTGTGGCGTCGACGTGGAGAAAGGTCCAATCCGGCAGCAATTGTGGAACGCCCCACCGTGCGACAACGTGGAATCATGGTTTGGGGCGCAATCGCGTATGATTCCAGGTCACCTTTACTTCGTATTCAGGGCACTATGACGGCCCAACGATACGTTGATGATGTGCTGCGACCGGTGACACTCCCCTACCTTCAGGGGGTACCCAATGCCCTTTATCAGCAGGATAACGCCCGACCACACACTGCTCGCATTAGCCAACAAGCTCTGCAAGATGTACAGATGCTTCCCTGGCCACCGTACTCTCCTGATCTCTCACCAATCGAGCACGTCTGGGACATCATTGGACGCCGTTTGCATGCCTTGCCACAGCCGCGTTCAGAAGACGAACTGTGGCAAATGGTTGAGAGGGAATGGAGAGCCATCCCTCAGGACGCCATCCGTACTCTGATTGACTCTCTACCTAGACGTGTTGCTGCGTGCATCGCCGTCCGCGGTGGTCCTACTTGCTACTAAGCCGACGCCGTTCTCGCTCTGTATTATGACTATCATTTTGAAATAAAGATCACTTATTGTTCGTCCCTGTCTCTCTCTGTCTGCCGAGTTTCATCACTTTCTGGCCACTATTTCTTGGTGTTCCATTTTCAATGTCACGCAGTGTATATATGAATTAAAAATATATATAATGAATAAATATATAAGAACAAATCCAAATAAATAAATAGTTTACACAAAGCAATAACGCGCCATCTATACATATAAAATAAAAGGACTTAAAAGCGCGAAGTTCGTTTTATGTATAAAAAAACATTCGCGCTTTTAAGTCCTTTTATTTTATATAAATAAATAGTGTGTGACGTTTCGGTAACAGCGTTGTTACCATTCTCAGACAAAAGTACTGAATAAGAAAATAGAGAGAGAGCCCAACAAAGATAATAGTCTACACCACCCCAGGTGGTCACCCTCCCAAGTACTGACCGGGCCCGAAATTGCTTAACTTTGGTGATCGGACGAGAAGCAAATAAGAAAATACATCACAGCACCTTTGTTAAATAGTTATGGTTATTAAGAATGTAAACAAGATAACAGATAATAAGATAGTTTTCTAAGAACCATAAAATATTATTCTAAATTTTGTCTGAAGATGGTAACAACGCTGTTATCGAAACGTCACACACTATTTATTTATTTTGTCTTATTACCTTGTGTTTATAATCTATAATTCAAATTGTATCTTATCATGAAAATTCTATTGATATTCACGTCAAATGGGTGTTTTAATTGAAATATTTCAAAATACAATTATCTTTCTGAATATCATTCTTACCTTGACGCCGTCTATGGATAAAGATTATAAATATTTTAAACGCTACTTTTCTTTTGTAAAGATATGTAATTAAAATCTATTTTTTGTACTGAGCGCGCGCGCGCGCTTTATTAATATTGCAATGGATAAATACGTATATGAATCTATTTTATATATGGATATAATTTTCTTGAAAACCATTTCTGAGATTCCATCCTTCAGTGCTGCGTATATAAGCAGAATCGTCCATTACAATATTAGAGCTCTTAGAAGCGGTCTGGTGAATTAAATTGGCGAAACCGCTGGGAGGGTTCACCACTGATGAGCCAAGCCCTCCCAATATATTTTTTCATCGTAGTAAGGACAGTAGAAGTTTGTATTTGTATAAAAGAAACATTCACGCTTTTAAATCCTTTCATTTTATATGTATAGATGGCGCGTTATTGCTTTATGTTAATATATGAATCTACTGTATGTGAATTAAATAATGCAACAGGTTTTTGGAGATGTTTCTTTTCATTGTTATTACAATCTGAAGCTTTCGGGTATTTCTTCCCTTCTACAGGAATACAAAAATGAACAATAATAAAACAATACAATTTTTTTTCAGAAATTTGAATTATTTATGACCCGTATGATTCTTTTTAAATAAAACAATTTTCTACTGCCCTTATTGCAATTATAAAAATAAATGGGAAGGCCTGGCTCATCAGTGTTGAACCCTACCAGCGGTTTCGCCAGTTTAATCTAACATACCGCTCTAATATTATTTTGAATTTATATTGATATAGGGAAGATCAACTCTTGCAAAAGGTGTTTTAGACCACCTATAGACATAAGATTTGAGGACAGTAGAAATACAAATAATTCTAAATTTTAGAATTTTAACGTTTGTTAATTTTATCGTAACTGTTTCTTTTGTGGAAGAAAAATTATAATTTATTTTAAGGAGAAATAACGAATATTTTTTATTCCTTTTTCTTCCAATCTCTAGACACTTTATTTTTCCGTTTATCATCACTCTTCACAATTCATTCTTTCATACTTCATCCCTAAGGTTAAAAATAATCGTTATTTCTTCTTAAAATAAATTACGATTTTTCGTTCAAAAGAAACATTTGTGGTAAAATTATAAAACGTTGTTCTACAATCATAAGTCGCATTATATTGTATTAATTCTAAATTTATAAGTTTTGCATTTTCCCCACGATTTTCTACGACTCATCTTTTACCGAGAAGCTATTGTTATTAAAATGATTGCTTCAGCTTTAAAAAAGCCTATAATATCAATGTGTCGAAAACACGCTTTCATTTTTATAAACCTTGTTAACTTTCTTTTAAACACTCATCCATGAATAATTATGAAACCAATCAATTAACTTAATTAGAAGTAATTACAGCTTGTATATCTGAGACAGAATGACCGTCAACCTGAATGGACAACTCACAAAGGACATCAACGACAAAGAAATTGACCAATGAAAGCGTCTTTATTCCCTAGTGGACCAATCAGGATTTAGCTTGGCGTAATTTGATTCGCTGTCGTCAAGGTTATTGGCTATTACAGTTGATCTTGTATCGATGATGGCTTATTGATTGGTTCCTATTGGCTGTTGCGGAGTGAATCTTGACCAATCACGTGTCTCCCTTCATTATTATCTGTAATGATAATGGATTTTTTTTTTTTGCGAGAAACAATGAGAAAGATCTAGATGAAAGCTGATTTATTACAATGCAAATATTTTATGTGATTTTATAGAAATAAATAATGGAAAAAAAGAGAGAAAGATAATTGAAAATTAAAAAATATTTTAGACCCTTTTTTTCTTTTAAAATACACACATGGAAACAACTAAGGAATTGGAAAGTCTTTGATATCGCCGGTCGTCTATTATTTTGAAGGGGATAAAGGCAATTTTTTTGTTCACACTTAGTTATCTCGTGTGTCTTCAATAAATGTCACTGTGATATATTTCAGAGTTATTGTCTGAATCCCGATATACATGCTAAAAGGTACAACTTCCCTAAGTTTTGTTCATGAGTGTATTTTTCATAGTTATTATCTCAATCCCGATATACAAGCTGAAAGGTACAACTTCCTTAAGTGTTGTCCATGAGTGTATCTTTCAGAGTTATTGTCTCAATCCCGATATACATGCTAAAAGGTACAACTTCCCTAAATTTTGTTCATGAGTGTATTTTTCAGAGTTATTATCTGAATCCCGATATACATGCTAAAAAGTACAACTTCCCTAAGTTTTGTTCATGAGTGTATCTTTCAGAGTTATTGTCTCAATCCCAATATACATGCTAAAAGGTACAACTTCCTTAAGTTTTGTTCATGAGTGTATCTTTCAGAGTTATTGTCTCAATCCCAATATACATGCTAAAAGGTACAACTTCCTTAAGTTTTGTTCATGAGTGTATCTTTCAGAGTTATTGTCTCAATCCCAATATACATGCTGAAAGGTACAACTTCCTTAAGTTTAATTTCTATTAGTCTAAATTATATATGTAAATATGATATAAATCTATTTCTATAGACCTTACACTGCAATGAATAAAAATCGAAAGAGGGATGGCATAAATCATCAGGGGATGAACCCTCCCAGTGGTTTCGCCAGTTTAATCTCCATGAGAGGGTTCACCACTGATGAGTCATGCCTTCCCTTTTTAAATACGAGTCGAACTGCTTTTCACATGTGTAGACATGTGGTGCACTTACAGTAAAAGCAATCGTCAACCTCTACCTACCATGATTAACATGGCCTGTACAACGTATACTAGGAATAAGCAAAAAAATAATAATTAAATATGTTAAATATTACTTTATAAATAAATAAAAATAAATGTATTAAAGAATAAAGACTCTCTCTCAGTGGTTCTCGAGAGATTTTAAGTTGATAGAAGAAAGATATAATAGAATACTCTGTGAGCCCATCACATCTGTATTCGGCACCACGGGTCTCGTTATAAAATAAATAAATCAACGCCATGTTGCCAGATAGCCATTTCTATATCGCCTGTTGGTTATTTCCCTTTTTTTTTCTTTTGTATCTAACTCTATGTTTTTTATTAGTAATGGCTCAAACTCTTTTAGCATTCTAAAATCATATTATATATAAAAACTGTATACAAGATACATACTACAGCGAAAAAAAATGTTTATGCAAATATTTGAAAATCGAATTATTGTTTTTTTTTTTTATGAAATCATAAAAGCTAATCTGCGCTAAAAATTGCTTAACAATTATTTTACAAATTCTAAAAAAAAATCATTATTATTCGATCAATATTTGTGTTTAAATTTTATTAAAGTTGTTTTTTTATATCTTTTCAATGAGGCGTATTCATTAAGGGGATTATGCAAACTGGATTAATGATATAAAATTAATTTTCATAATTTTCTTTGTATGTGTTTTGTGTTTATATATTATTATGATGCATTAGCGCGCCATCTGTTATCAAAATTCGAAACTATTTTAGACGAGTATGATTCTTTTTAAAAATTGGACAATTTCTACTGCTCTTACTGCAATGGAAAAATTAATAAAATTTATACAAAAAAAATCATAAAACCCACCGCAATTATTTTTGTTTACTTGTTTAAAGGAAGCTTTCGGGTAGTCCTTCTTCAGGTTCTAGTTATCTGAAGAAAGGTTTGTCCGAAAGTTTCTTTTCATCAAGTAAATAAAAAGAATTGCGACGTCTTATGCTTTTTTTTTTTGTAATTTGACGAAATTCGAACCTCTGTGATAATTAATTATTTAGTTTAATATATAGGTGCAAATTTCTTCTTTTAATCATTTTTACTGTGAATTTCTAAAAATAAAATATCAATTTATTGTCTATTTCTTAACCTTTTTCACACCAGTATATTAATATTTATATAGAAGATATGTGTACTGTTCTTACAAAGAAGAAGAGAAAATACTGGAATATTGCTGTATATAGAAAATAGATCAAACGGCCAAATTTCATTTCTGTTGGTTCTCAAGAAAAATATTTATTCAAGCTTGTACAATACTTATTCCCTGAATTCCACATATCCAAGATATACACAGTTTTATTCAATAAAATATACAAGTTCGTAAAAATGCAATATAATCTAGTATAAATACGTTCAAAAGATACATTTTGAGAAGAATTTTCCAATAGTTTAATTTCTAACTTCTTTTTGTGATGTAATTGTTGGGATCGCAGAGCAACATTTTGAAATTTTAGAGTTACTCTTCTATATTTTGAGCTTGAGATATATATATTATTTTAAAAATATGTCTTAAATTCAGATATATATATATATATATATACTAGACGGGTGACCCGGGCTTCGCCCCGGGATTGACCCGTGTGCATATCTACCCGAGTGATATATATTTAGATAAGATTTTTTTAAATAATTGTTTGTTATTAGCATTATCTATTTGTTTGCATCAGCATAATTTAATCTAATCTTTGATAGAGGACGCTGTTCGTGAGCTAAGTAGAATAATTTGAATATATAGTTTTAATAATTGATTTATATATATTTTTAAAATAGCCTATCGTCTTCCCCGTATTTTTTTTACCTATGTATGGAAATTTTGGTTTGAATTAGTGAACTACTGCGAATTTGTATACCGGACATACAAACAAACAAACAAACATACAAACATTGATTTATATATGTATAGATATTATTATGATAATCATTTCTGATGCATGATTAAAGGGAGAGGTGCCTCTTTAGGTGAAT